GTGAGGTGTGTGTGTGGGGGAGAGAGAGAGAGAGAGAGAGAAGTTTAGCTTGTAGAGCTCTGCAGGACCCAGCCTGGTGCCATGTTTGCCAGGGCAGGAATGCTTATGTAAAAGGTAGAGAGAAGGGTTGGCAGAAACCAAACAGACCCATCTTTCAGTCATGCTAACCCAATCCATGCCCCAGCCTCTAGGAGGACAGGACACATGCTAAGGGTATAAGGGTACGAGGGACCCCAGGCTCTGCCTACAGTCCTCCCCTGCCTGGTCCTGTCCTTCAGGAGGGGTTCCCCGGGCGGGGGGAACTGGGCCAGGTCCCACAATTCTCCATCCTTAAGAACTCTCTCCATGTTTCTTCCCTGTCCCCTCCCCGCCCCACAAGGCTTCAGGGGCCTCCACATTCTGACCCCTGTCCCCATCCTGTACGCCTTAACCCCTTCCTCACCAAGCACCAGCCACAGTGGCCTTTTATCTTTTCCTCGGACTATCTGAACTCATTCCCACCTTTGGGCCTTCATACTAGCAGTCTCCTCTGCATGACGTCTTCCCCATCTTCACAGGCTGACCCTCCTCATTATCCAGATTTCAGGCTAGGTATCATCTCTTCCCAAAGACCTCTCAGGGCTGCCCAGTCTAAAGCAGCTGCCTGTTCATTTGCCTACCCTACTGTTTCAATGTATTACAACCTGTTACTCTCTTGTTTATCATCTGTCTCTCCCTGCCTTGGTTTACAAGACATTTCATGATCCAGGCCTGGCTTCCCATAAACTCCATTGTTCACCCCTGGAAGCTAATGCAGACCCTCCGGGACCCTGCTCTCTCTGCATTCCCAGCCTCAGCACCTGGCTTCCTTTCTCCCTGGAGGCTGCTCTTCACCCCACCTCCCACTTCACCCCCTCTCCTGGCTAGATCAGACATAGAAATAGTTGCTGACCCCTAACTCCAGTTCATTCCTTTTCCCCTCCATCAGCCCATCAGGGTTCTTGGTGCCCTGTAATGCAGGGGAAGGCATCACACGGGGAGGGCAGAGATGAGTCTGCCTTGTTCGCTGCTGTGCCGGGGGCCTAGCGCAGGACCGGGTGCACAGTAGGCTGGACAGACACATGAAACCCGCCGCATCGACAGCATGGGAAGAACGGAAGAACGTAGCCGCTGCGGCTGGTGGGCTGTCACATGGAGAGTTTCCAGGCAAACAGCTCCACCCGGAGTTGGCCTGAACGAGAGCTGCTGCGGTGGATGGAGAGCATGCTGCCGGCTGTGAGAGCAGTGGGAGTGTTCCAGAGAGAGCGGCACCTGGGCAGGAGCAGGGGCTTCAGGGAAATGACACGCTGTTCTCTCCAGATTTGTGCAGGACTGAGGGGAAGGTGAGGAATGAGGCCAAACCACAGAGGGCTGTATAAGCCTGCAGGAGGCAGAGAGCTGGATACTAAAGATAATGGGAGATCGTTAAAGAGTATGGAGTAGTGGGGGAAATGGTCAGATCTGCATCTAAACTGAAAAACCACAGCAGCTGGATGTGTTTTGGGATGAAGAGCTCCATTCTCAACTTAAATCCTTGAGTTCTCTCGCAGATTACCCCACACTATACTTCTTCTAGCTCTTGCTCTTGATCAGTACAGGAGGCAAGGGCTTCAGTAGAAATCTCCCCGCCTTAGTCCCTGTAGTAGGTTGAATGGTGCCCCTCCCACCCCCTAAAAAAAGATTTAGCCACATTCAAACCCCTAGAACCATGTGAATGTGACCTTATTTGGAAAAAGGGTCTTTGCAGATGTATTGAGCTAAGGGTCTTGAGATGAGATCATCCTGGATTACCGAGAGAGGCCCTAAAGCCAATGACAAGTGTCCTTAGAAGAGGCAGAAAAGGAGAAGACCCAGACAGGAGAGGAGCAGGCCCTGTGGCCAGAAACTGGCATGGGGCCTCCACAAGCCTGGGAAGCCCAAGACACGCCAATAGCCACCCAAAGGTAGAAGAGGCGAAGAAAGATTCTCCCCTAGAGTCTCCAGAGGGAAAGCCCTGTTGACACCTCAATTTTAGACTTCCGACTTCCGAACCGTGAGAGAATAAGTCTGTGTTGTTTTAAGCCACCCAGTTCATGGTTTGGCAGAAGGGGGTAGGACAGTGAGCTGCTCAATGGGGGTGAGCACAGATACGGCAGGGATGGTCATTGTTCAAATAGGATTCGTAGCTTCCGGTTCCCAAAGGGGCCTGTGGGGCTCTGGAATGGTCAGTCTGGTCTTTAGGGTGGGATTACTGGGGCCGACACACTGTCAGGCTTCTTTCATTAAGCGTTTCTTAACGTACCCACCGTGTGCTGGCTTTCTTCTGCACTCTACCCATCTAGGCACAGCCAACATCCACAATTCCAGACAGTAAGCAGCCAGCCCACCTCTGAAAACACCAGCATTTGACCTGAAGGTCTGCACTGTGTGTGTGTGTGGGTGAGTGGGTGGCTGGGTGTGTGTGTGTCCTCCCTTCCTCCCTGGGGAATCCTCACCTATCTCTGTAGAAGAGCCTGCTTCCTCTGTTAGAAGTTTCTTTTTGGAGGGCCAGTTAACATTGCAATTATATCTCTGGGAGTGCCCATTCAGTGTCCTTCTCCCCATCTAGCTGTAAGCACCCCCATAACGATGCCTGGCTCACTGAGGTGTCCCATAAGAATTTGAATGAGACAGGCCAATTCTCAGGGGCACCTGAGTTTTCGGAAGGAGAAAGATTTCATCTGGTCATTTCAAACCCTCTGAGAGTGCCAACAGCTAGGGGCTCAGGCTTCATCTTAAGAGAAAGAATCAAAGAGGAAAGGCCAAGGGCAAAAATAAAGCCACATGTGAGAGGGGAAGAAGATGTCAATCCTAAACCTAGGGCTGCCGGAGGCCAAAATGTTACAACCCTCCCTCCATAGGAGGGGTCCTTGTGCCCATTTTTTTTTTTTTTTAGGTCTTGGCTAAGATGGCATCCTATACCTCCTTCCTCATAACTCAAACTCCCCCACCCAACCCCCTGCTTTCTCCCTACTAAAGATTAATTTCCCTTTGAATAGCATTCAGATGGGCTGGACTCTAATGATGCCCAGAATCTCATCAAAGTAGGAAGGGGCACCTGACTCTTCACAAATTCTCCCCAAAGGGTCATCTTCTTGCCCTGAAACAAAAAAGTGATTTGCAGAGAAATGTGGTAAATCCATGTTGTGGACTGGTTGCCACCAGAGTTCCTCTGTTAAAAAGGCGAGTAACAGTACCCACCTCAAGTGGGAGAACATTTGAGATCATGCATCACACACTCAGTGCTGTGCCCAGTTGCAGTCCCAGTCGTCAGTACTAGTCTCGGTGCAGACAGTGGTTAAGAACCGCAGCTGTTGTTAGAATTACTAAGACAAGTCCCTCTATCTTGCAGTGTGATCAGTCAGTTACTCCCTTTCCCTGTACCTGTTTCCCTGCTCACCAAACACAGGGCCTCTAGCCATCCCCGGTTGCACCGGGGGGGTGGGGTGGGGACCAAGCTACCCTTCTGAGATGGGCACCCCAGAAGGAAAGGCAAGGTTATGGTCATTCACTCACTGTTATTAATTAAAGATTAGGCTCTTGTGAAGCCTGGGCAAATGTCAGAAGATGCAGCCAAGGTCCTTGGCATTAGCTCTCCTGGGGCACTTGCCTCAAGGCAGTGTCATCAGAAGGTCCCTTTGGATCGAATGAGGGTGGGGCAGAGGAGGTGAAGAAGGAAAGTATCAAGAAAGCAAACTGTACTCTTGAGTACAGACGGAGCTGGCCAGTTGAGAAGGGTCTTGGGTCCCCTCAGACTTCTTGCTCTGAGCCCTACCTCTTGCCTTTCTCTGAAGCTCCATAAGGTAGACCCTGTTTCATGATGTTTGCCTCTTTCTCTAAAAATCTGCTCTAAGGCAATAACCTTATATATTTGTTTATACTAACATGTAAATGGCTGTCAGGGCTTTATGCTTGCTTGTTTTTATAAGGGGAAAAGGTTTCAGTCAACAAAATGAATACCTTCAAGGGAGTGGGGGAGGCAGAGGGCCCTTCCCAATGACTCAGAAAGCACACTGCCTACTCCATCCAGAAAACCAGTGGCTGAAGCAGCGGAGACCAAGCCATTTGGGTTTAGTTGAACTGACTGAACAATTTCTGAACCCTACGTTCTCTTTCTGGAAGTAGGATAGTAGGCAGGAGCATGGTGGGGGGAGAGGAGGACGAGGGACAGTAGACAGAGCAGAGGCACACAAAGTAGGAAGGGATTATTTCCTCCAAATGCACCTCTCAGGGAATGAAGAGTTGCCAGGGAGGAGTGCAGAGCTGTTTCTTCAAAGCATCACTTTTGATATAATGAAAAGTAAGGGGCTCTGGTGGCTCAGCTCTCTGGAGAATCCTCAGCCTCCTCCCTTGGCCCCTCTTGGCTTGTGAGACACCCCAGGTCATGGTTGGTCTGTTTCAAGAGGAGCTCATCTCCTGAGCCCCTGCAGCCAATCTGGATAGCTGCCTAGGCCTCCCCAGTGGCTTTGCAGCCTAGGACCAAAGCAAGATTATGGACCAGATCAAGCTAGTGGTGAGGAGGGCGGGGGTTAGGTGGAGAATTCTGGTTACTGAGATGGTCAGAGCAGAGACGGTGAAAAGGACTGTCAGGGAGCACCATCTGCCCTCCCCACGGGGTGGCTCCACCCAACAGTCCTCTTGGTTTACGTCAGCAGCACGACCCAGTGTGAAGGGCTTGGCCTCCAGCAGCCCCTAGAAAAAGGGCTCCAGGGGCGCCTGGGTGGCTCAGTCGTTAAGCGTCTGCCTTCGGCTCAGGTCATGATCCCAGGGTCCTGGGATCGAGCCCCGCATCGGGCTCCCTGCTTGGCGGGAAGCCTGCTTCTCCCTCCCCCACTCCCCCTGCTTGTGTTCCCTCTCTCGCTGTGTCTCTCTCTGTCAAATGAATAAATAAAATCTTTAAAAAAAGAAAAAAAAGAAAAGAAAAGGGGTTCCAAAATAAAAGAAACAGAGCGGATCAGAGCCAGTCCTGGAACACAAACACCAGTATATTTGATGTGCACGAATGTGAAAAGGAAGAGACAAAGAGACCGATGGAGACAGAGCAGGCGATGGGCGCACAAACCAGTCACGTGTCCTGAAGAGCTGCGGCAGTTGGGAGACAGTCCCGCCCACTCCGAAGTGGGAGTGCCGGGACCTGCAGCTCCTCCGGGTCTGGGGTGGCGTCAGGGTGGAAGGTACCCTCCCTGCCTTAGCCATAGCTCGGGGGCCGGGCATCTCTCCTTTCTGCCCTCCCCATGATGATGTCTGCACGGCCCAGAGCTTCCTAAATGCAGGTTCTCAGGAACTGACCCACTCAGCACTGCCTCCCCAAGACCCATGCACAGAGTGAGGGACTAGGACAAGAGGATTTCATGGGCACTCCCTATGTATTATTGCTGTAGATAAGCACAGGCCATTGTGACTCACTGGCAACAGAGGGGACAGGGCACAAGGGACAGGATGCCTAGCAGACCTCAGAAGCGGTTCAACCATGCAGGGCAGCATATGGCCATCCATAAGTGACTCAGAGATGCTGCCATGTCCAGTGGAGAGAGATCCAGGACACCAGAGGTTCACAGTCAGCAGACTCTTCCTGCCAGCACCCCCAAGGCTTGGCAGAGCTAGGGTGCCCGGGCACTAAGGGATGAGGGCCCTGAAGATACCCAAACAAGCAAGTGTTGAAGTCTGGGCTACCCCTGGTGAATTCTGAGCCTGCAGACCCTGAGCTCAAGCCCTGGATTGTTGCCTCCCTTTGCTGGGGACTCTGGGCCCTATGAGGGACAGAAAGAGCCATGGGGCACCTGGATGAAGCAGAAAAACAGCACTCTGCATGTATCAGGCAGGCAGGTTCACTGCAGGAACTCCCGTCCTTGGGAGTCTGTAGGGCCCAGAGAAAAGATGGTGCCAGGGAATGCCCATGGGGCAACATCTGGAGTGGCCAGACCTGATGGGCCATAGGGGGGCTTGCTCTGGCTGAGAATCATGGAGGCCCTATGCTGGCAGACATCAACAAGCTGACCACAGATTCGGTCATGGGAGGAGAGGTCAAAGGTGAGTGGTGTCGTCTAGGGGCCCACATGAGGGGCCTGGAAGGGTGTTGGGGTCCAGAAAACAGATATCACAGAGTTTGAGGACAGGGCCAAGGAAATAATTTCCCAGAGGGGACAGAGAATCCAGACAATACTTTTCCTCTGGAATCCCTTCCACCTGTAGATGGAAACCCGAATCCCTGGATGCCCCAAAGCCCTGGAATTGGGGCCACAGTAAAATCGAAGGTAGGTCTGGCCCCTGCAGAATGTAGTTCATGCCTGGATTTGAGGAGCCTGGCCAGGACACAGAGGCTGGGAAATGCCCTTCATCCTGTCCTGGACAGGGTCAACTGCACAAAACAACCCTGTCAAAGGCAGAGTCTCCTAGCCTTTCTCCCAATCCTGCCCATCCCCAGCCCATCAGCCCTGGCTCACATCCTGGCTGGTACTATCTGCACAGTCTAGGTGGAGCAGCAGAGCAAGGAAGAGGAGCTTCTCTCCACAGGTGGTATTACCATTTTTTAATGATCTATAAAACGGGAAAGGCTAATTTCTATCTACGAGTCCTAGTGGGGTCAAGATGAGACCATGTACCATGGCAAAGGCTGCCTTCTGAGGAGTGGGGGCAGAGCCAGAAGTGGGCTGGAGTGAGGATTTCACCTGTCCACTGCCAGCAAGGGACCCATCACAGAGGAGGCGGGGCAACCGAGATGACAAGGCCCGCGAGCACGGCAGGGTCAATACTGTTTAAGGAGTAAGCTCAAAGGGTGAGCCTTGCTTGGGAGGGGTGGGATGGGGGGTAGCCCTGAGGGGGTTTTGCTGCAGGGCCTGGGGCTATGGCAGGACCAGCGGATCCCTTCCCACTAAGCATGCTCCAAAGACCCTCCCAAAGCTGAAAGGCTGTTTTCTTTTTCTCTCTCACTCATCCTCCATGGGTCTCCAACACTGGATGCCGGCCCCTCCATCCCCTAGAAAGCTCTATTGACTCTGACTGGCTTGAAAAGAAACCGAATGCTTTCTCCCCTTGCCCCCGCAACTCCACTAAACTGATTTGTCTCTAGGTCCCCACTGTGGATCTGAGGGGGTGCATCCTGGCCTGACTGTGTTGGGGAGGGTATCATCCCATTTCAGCTGGGCCACTATGGGGAGGGGGCACTGCCACAGCCCGCCAGACAGGTGGGGAGGTGTGAAAGGGGGACTTCCCAGTCATCAGGCAGCAGACAGAGTGGGGGAAAGGCCGCAAGAGGGTGGGCAGGGTCCGTCTCAGGGTCCATCTCTGGCAGCTGCTGTGTTGGCCAGGGAGTTGGGGAAGGGGGCGGGTGTGGTGACTGACATGGATAAAGGGGCTGCTAGTGGTAAAGGCCTTGAAAATAAGAGAGAAAAGGGGGAAACGCCACCGAACACACAGGGATTGAAACCTCCAAAAGCCCAAGGTTGGTGGGAATCCAGCACCGGGGGGCCCCCTGAAGGCCAAGGGAGCGGCAGAGCCCTGGGGGAGGGGAGAGGAGCCAGGGGAAGGCCTCCAGCCCTTGCACGCCAGCACTGCCGCCAAGCAGCCTCCCGGCTGCCCAGTCTCTCCTTAGGCTGCCGCTCAGCAGGCCCCCGGGGAGGTATTGGTTGCAAGCAAGCACCTGAATATTGCCTAATGGAACCAGCCAAAGCCCACCTAAACCAGCTGAGAGGGAGGAAGCCACGCAGCAGCCCAAAGCCTCCTCAGGCCTCGCCTCCCACCTTCTGCCCTGTTCTCAGAGCCCCTTAGCCAGGACAGGGCCTGCTGCTTCCAAAATCACCCGGGGGGAGGGGGGGGGCGTCCAGCCGCTGCTTAGCCACAGGCCTCCGACCGCCAGCAGAGATCCACAGACCCTTCCCAGAGTCCCTCCGCTACCTGCACCCCCGCCCCCCACGCCTGGCCCCGCCCCCGGCCCCACCCCCAGCGGAGGGTGCTGGGGTGAGGGGGGCGTCGCGTATGTGTGCGCCCTAGGGGGCTGAGGCCGGTCCCGGCCAGGGCTTGTGCTGTTCAGAAGATGTAACCCCACCAGCTTGGTACCTGTGTCCACCGGGTCCGTGAGAGAGCCCCGGGCCCCACCCACCAGCCCCATTCAGTCTGTCTTGACGTGGCCGTTGGCCAGGGCCAGGCGGCCACTGGGCTCCCCGGGCTCGGCGTCCTTGTCAAAGCGGAGGCGGAGGGTGTTGCGGATGATGAACTTCTCCATGATGAGGGACCCGCAGAACCAGGGCACGGCGTACTCCAGGGTGATGAGGCCCATGAAGTCAAAGTCGAACTGGGAATAGTCCCAGGGGCAGGCATTGAACTGGCGCAGGATGAGGCCGGTGGTGAACTCCCATAGGTAGGTCCAGAGCGTGTAGATGAGGCAGCGCAAAAGCAGCGGGCAGCGGCCCCGCAGGCGCAGGTACATGCGCTCCACGATGAGGATGGAGGTGCCGTAGATGAAGAGCGCCCACACGCTCGTGACCCCCGGGAACTTCCAGTTAAAGTTCAGCACGAACTCCCAGGCCGCCGTGAACATCACCTCGCAGAAGTAGCCGTGGATGGCATACAGGTACCAGCGGGACAGCGCCGTCAGGGGCTCGGCGGACGCCATGCTGCCGAGCCGGCTGCTGGGACACAGAGGAGACAGGTGAGGGGGGGAGGGAGGGAGGGAGGGGGCCCCTCCTCCTGGCCTCCCATGCCCAGCCCAAGTCTCTGCCCGGGCCAGGCTCCAGGGGATTCCAAACCTGCCTCTGCCGTTCTCTTGCGTGACCGGTCCTATTCTTGACCCTATTTCCTGTTCATTACTTTATTCCCTCTTCCTTACCTTAGCCAGGTGGGCATGAGAAAGGAAGGGAAGAAACTTCAAAGTCCCACTGGCTTCCTCTGACCAACTCTACTCAAACGCTACTTGGAAGGAGGGCTCTCCTACACAGCCTAGACTTGTTTTGGATTATCTGTGGTCGAATGGAAGAGTTGGCTGTCCTGACCCACCAGTCACCTCCATTTCTAGACTGCCAGCTGATTTCTCATCAGGCCCATCCACTGGGGTCACCATCCCTTCCTCCACTTCCTCTCCGACAACTCCACCTCACTCATCTTTCTAAGCAACCTATCACATTTGTCTTGTGTGTGTGTGAGTGTGTGTGTGTGTGTTAACATATACTAACATTTACCATGTTAGCCATTTTTAAGTGTATAGTTCAGTGGCATTAAGGACATTCACGCTATTGTGCGACCATCCCCCCCCCCATCTCCAAAACTTTTTCCTCATCCCAAACTGAAATTCCATACCCATTAAACACTACCTCCCCACCTCCTCCCCAGCCCATGGCAACCCCCATTCGACTTTCTGTCTCTCTGAATGTGACTACTCTAGTTACCTCATAAGTGGAATCACACAGTATTTGTCCTTTGGTGACTGGCTTCTTTCACTGAGCACAGTGCCCGCAAGGTTCATTCATGTTGTAGCCTGTGTCAGAATATCCTTCACTTTTTTTTATTGTTATGTTAATCCCCATCCATTACATTATTAGTTTTAGATGTAGTGTTCCATGATTCATTGTTTGTGCATAACACCCAGTGCTCCATGCAGTATGTGCCCTCTTTAATACCCATCACCAGGCTTACCCATCCTCCCACCCCCCTCCCCTCTAGAACCCTCAGTTTGCTTTTCAGAGTCCATCGTCTCTCATGGTTTGTCTACCCCTCCAATTTCCCCCCCTTCATTCTTCCCCTCCTGCTATCTTCTTCTTCTTTTTTCTTAACATATATTGCATTATTTGTTTCAGAGGTACAGATCTGAGATTCAACAGTCTTGCACAATTCACAGCGCTTACCAGAGCACATACCCTCCCCAGTGTCTATCACCCAGTCAGCCCATCCCTCCCACCCCACCCCCCACTCCAGCAACCCTCAGTTTGTTTCCTGTGATTAAGAATTCCTCATATCAGTGAGGTCATATGATACATGTCTTTTTCTGTTTGACTTATTTCACTCAGCATAATACACTCCAGTTCCATCACATCATTGCAAATGGCAAGATTTCATTCCTTTTGATGGCTGCATAATATTCCATTATATATATATACCACATCTTTTTATCCATTCATCTGTTGATGGACATCTTGGCTCTTTCCACAGTTTGGCTATTGTGGACATTGCTGCTATGAACATCGGGGTGCACGTACCCTTTCGGATCCCTATTTTTGTATCTTTGGGGTAAATACCCAGTAGTGCAATTGCTGGATCATATGGTAGCTCTATATCCTTCACTTTTTAAGGCTGAATAATATTCATCCCTTTGTGATTGATCCATTTATCTATCTGTATCACATCTGCTTTATCCATCTGTCCATGAATGTTTGTTTCTACCTTTTGGCTATTGTGAACACTGCTGCTATGAACATGGGTGTACAAGCATCTGTTCTAGTCTCTGCTTTCCATTCTTTTGGATTTATATCCAGGAGTAGAATTGTTGGATCACATGGTGATTCCATGTTTGTTTTCTGAGGAACAGCCTCGCTGTTTTCCACGGCAGCCGCACCATTTTACACTCCCACCAGCAAGGCACAAGACTTCCAATTTCTCCACATCCTTGCCAGCACTTGTTATTTTCTGGTTTTTTGATGATGGCCATCCTAATGGGTGTAATGTGGCAGCTCGTTGTGGTCACATTTGTCTTTAACCGCTCCATTAAGCGGGTTTGGGTGTTTGGTTTCAATGTTGAGAGGAAACCAGCGGGCTGACAGAGGAGAGAGCCTTCCTCTCTCCTTCTTATTCCCTTCCCCTCCTCTCTTCTAGCCCCACTGGGCTTTAAGGCCCCAAGCTGCTCCCCTGAAAGCTGGCCTGGCCCACAGACCTCGCTGCTCTTCCTTGCCCTCCATCAGTGACTGTCTGGATGACTCCCTTGGCCCTTCATCCAGCACCACCCTGTTTCCTGTTAGAAGGCACGTGCCCTCTGGATCCACCTTGCCAGCCTGAGTCCTCCCCGAGGGCAGTGCCTCTTTCGCACTCCTCTGTTCTGCAGCCTTGGCACAGGCCTTTCCGGGGCAGGCGTTCTCTAAATGATGCAGGTTTATGGGGGGAAGTGGGGGTTCAGGGCAGCATCAGGAATGGGAAGACAGAGCATGAAAACACGAATCCCAGTGGACCCCAGGCTGGACACCTCTGTCAAGGTGGGAGAGGGGACAGAAGTTAACAGGAGGCACCTGCAGTCTGCCTGCCTGTCTGGGAATCCCAGCCTCATCTTTGAGCTAAAGCAGACCTCGTCAAAAAAATACCCGCCCTGCCTCATCTTTCAGCTAAAGCGGACCTCGTCAAAAAAATACCCGCCCTGGTGCATCGCTTTGTGGTCTTCCAGGCACTTTTGTTCACATTTTTGTCATTGGTTCTTACAAAATTAAGATTCATGCGAAGAAGGGCAGGTAGTTTTGCTCCCATTTTTTCAGAGAGACAGCTGGGGCTCCGAGAGAAGTGGGTTTGCCCCATATCCCAGGGCCGGGGAATGGATAGGCTGAGCCTAGAATCCACATTTCCTGATTTGTACTTCAGCACTCATCCCACTGCCCACTATTGCCCAGCTCCTAGACATGCGTGCCTAGTAGCACTCCTCTCCTCAAAAGCATTCAGTGGCCCCCCCATGTCCTAAGGAAACACCACAGCATCCTTGGCCTGGCATTCAAGACTCTCCAGGACCTCATTCCAGCCTACTTTTTCAGCCTTCTCCTCACTAGCTGGCTCTCCTGGTTTTCCCCCCTGCCTCTGCAGATCCTGTCTGTCTGTTTTCTGTGCCTCTCCTCTCACCGTCTACAAGTACAAACCCAACTGCCAGGTGACCTTCAGAATCAAATTGTCTTCATCCCCACCGCCACAGCCCTCTTCCTCCCCTGAATAGACAGAGCACTTACTCTGTCTCGCTTTGGTCCAGATGATTTCCTGTTTCATTATGTTGATAACTTCCAGTCCCCATCCAGACATCTCGCCTGTGTCCGACACCTACGTATCCCACTCCTTCCTGAACACCTCCACCTAAGCGTCCTATAGGCACCTCAAACTCAGTATCTTTTCCCCAAAACTCGTCTTCCTCCTGTGACCCCACCCTGCACCCAGTGAGCAGCCAGAGGCCCCGGGGTCATTCTAGCTTCCTCTGCCGCATCCCCACCCAAACATGAGCTCCCTGAGAATAAGGACCTTGTCTGTCTGGTTCAGCACTGCATCCCCGGTGCCTAGAACAGTGCCTGGCACACAGCATTCAACTAAAAAAGACCTTTCTTAATCAGTTCATCACTGCTACATAACAGAGCATTCCAAAACTCAGCGGCTTAAATCAAATCTCATTTATTATTACAGCCTGTGTGTCTGTGGGTTGGCGGATCTTGGCTGGCCTCGATCATGAGACCGCTGGTCGTCTGGGAGCTCTGTCCCATCCTTGGCTGGGGTGGCTCTGATCTACCTGCCTCTCGTCCCTGGCACGCTTTCTCGTGGCTGGGGCAGAGGCACACGGACAAGCAGGCCCTACTGCGCCACGCTTTTCAAGACTCCGGTTAAGTCGTGCCCAGGAACATCTCACTGGTCCTAGCAAGTCCCCTGGTGAAGCCGCCAAGTCAGCCATTACCTCCTGTCCTTTTCTACCGCGTAACCGTTTTTGAAATCACCCCTTCTTCTTGACGCCCCTTTCTCATTGCTGCTGCTCTGCTTCAAGCCGTCGCCCTCCCTTACCCGGATGCCCCCCGTCGTCGGCAGCTGGTCTCTCCCCGGCCTTCTCCTCTCCAATTCACTCATCACGCGAAGGAAGAGTGTATAGAAACAGCAGTCCTTCTAAAACACAAATCCGATGCTTCCCCCACGTAAGGCCCCCTAGTGTGTCCTTACCATCCACACAGGAAGGCTCGAACCCCTAGGGACGGCTGGCAAAGCCCTTTGTGAGACATTTCTGCCTCAGATCGTGTGCTCTGGATCTTTGCATTACTGTGTTTGCTACCTGGGGTGCCCTTCCCAATTGCTACTGCCCCCACCACCCCCAGCCCCTGGCCCATGGCCCATAATCCTGCCCCGTTTGCCCACCTCTGCTCCCAGTTCACTTCTGTGACAACTCTGCACTAGAGGCCAACTCTGCACTAGAGGCCACTAGAGGCCACTCGATGAACGTTTAATATGATGGTAAGAGAGGGGAAAAGCAGGATTCAAAACTGAATAATTAATATGGTTTTGATTTTGCAAAAGCATTCATACATACAAATGTACAAAAAAGATTAGCCACCATCATCTCTGAATGGTGACATCACAAGTGATTTTTATTTCCTTCTTTAAACTTCTCTGTATAATCTAAAATCTTTTTCTAACAAGTTTGTCTAAACTTTTAGAAAAATAAAATTGTATCTTAAAGGGGCGCCTGGGTGGCTCAGTCGGTTAAGCGTCTGCCTTCGGCTCAGGGCATGATCCCAGGGTCCTGGGATCGAGCCCCGCATCGGGCTCCCTGCTTGGTGGGAAGCCTGCTTCTCCCTCTCCCACTCCCCCAGTTTGTGTTCCCTCTCTCGCTGTGTCTCTCTCTGTCAAATAAATAAAATCTTAAAAAAAAAAGAAATCTTTAAAAAAAATTGTATCCTAAAAACATTTGTTGTATAAC